GTCGACGGTTTCGCTGACCGCGGTGGTGTTGGCAATCAATTCGCAACCGCCACCGCCACCGCCACCGGCAACGCCACCGACGACGACGAGCTCGTCCTCGTCGTCGACGTTACTGCTCCGTCGCTGCTGTCGCCTCCTCTTCTTCCTTTTACGCCTGGCGATGCGAGAGCTGCCGGCCGAGGAGGAACTCGCGAAGCCGAGCCGAGCGGAGGATCGCAGGCGAGACGAATCCAGGGCTTTTTCCTCCTCGACTCGTGCACGCGTGCCGCCGTCCATACACGGCCGGTACACGCGCGCGTCCAGCCGGGAAGACGACGCGCACCCGCCTCGACAAACGGCGAGAGAGAGCTCGATACTTGGACGCGAGATACTCGTGGACGAACGAACGAACCAGCCAGTCGATTGTTATAGGTACGCCGCGCGCGCGCACGTTCTCGCCACGCGAACGACTCGCTCGCGATACTCGCCACAGATCCGCCTGGATAGCCGCCGCTTATCCGCTCGCTGGCCAGCGCTACCGCGCCGAGAACCCAAGTCCGAACCTTGCTTCGCTTTTGCCTACGATTTCAGCTTCGGCTTCGGCCTCGCTCGAGTTTGCGCTCGGCTCTGCTCGGTTCCGCTCGGCCCGACTCGGCTCCGCTTCGCGCGCCACCGCTCGTCACCGCTTGTCACCGCTTGCGATCTCTGCCTCTTGCGGTGCCACTTGCTCTATCTCTCTATCTCTCTCTTTCTCTCTCTCTCTCTCACACACACACACACATACACAGTCTCTCTCTCGTTCTCTCGCTCTTCGTCTTCCAAAACGTTCAAAAGTGGAGCTAAACTTCCACCTTTTCTCTCCAATTCTCTTTATTTTCCCGAATACAATTAAACGAATATCTATGTGTGTATATGTATCGCTTCGTTCTCAATTGTTGCTGCTCGACTTCTAACCTACTCGATTTGTACCACTCGCGAATTCAACGAGACAGGTTTCTAAAGGCTCTGTCTAAAGTATATTATGTGT